AACGACAAGGCCCTCATGAGGGAGCTCTTGCCGAACACAACTGAGGAGGCTCTCTGCAGTCCCACCTTTTTGATGTAGAGGTCAATATACATGACTGCTCAATGCACAAGCTCTCATGGACATGCTCAAACGAAAATGAGATGAGAATTTTGTGCCAAGTATACCAGACCGAAGGAATGGCATACGAAAACGAAATGAAATGATCCGTAGGGGGTATGGTTTCGGCCCCTTGCCACGCCAGACACAAAGGAATGACATAGCACGAAATGAGATGAAAGATGAGCGACAATGAGGGTCCCGCCAGCTGCCCATTACGGGGCCCAGGCGCAGACCAATGCAGGTACGTTACCTGGAGTGTGGGGGGAGCTTCGTTGGGCGGAGCACCCCCACACTCCCTCCGCCGTACTGGTAATTTCCCCTGCAAAGTTTATCGCATGTACAGCAGAATAACACAAACAGGCCCCGACCGGGGTCGCGCTCAATCATATCCCCTGCAAAGTTTATCGCATGTACAGCAGAATAACACAAACACGGCCGTGATCGATACCGCAAGGCGCTCAGGGCACACCAGTAAACCGCGGTATGCACCAGGTAAATCTTCTGTCCCGATACGAAACCGGAGCCAGTCCGGTAGTTCAGGTTGAGTTTTTCGGGCCACACGCAGCTTGCCCTGCTGATTCAAAACGAATCTCTACGGTCTCCACATTCCCTCACCGAAAACTGAGTCAAGCTCAGCTTCAGTCTTGCGAGGGGAACACCGGGAACAGAAGCCCTTCTCGATCTCCTCCAGGGTAACCTGCAGGATTTCCTGGTGCATCTTCCTACACCCATCTTGTTTTGAGACCCCCCCTCTATTTATACATTTCCTCCTGGAGGTGCCCGAGGCAGCCGGAAACGTACACAGGGAGGGTTTTGAGGTGTATGACTTTTCACACCTCATCACAACACCCTATGGATACAGCTCCCACTCACTATGCGATTAAGGGTTTGGGATCGCGGAAGTTGCAGCTCGGGGAAGCCGTCCACGGCCGCACCAAACACACGACAATGTACGGTATTCAGCCCCCCTGCATAATTCATTGCCGTATGCCCCCAAGACCCTGTCGGGCACGGAACGGTCCAGTTAAACTTCCTCAGGATAGTCTGGGCTGAAGGTACGTATGGCCCAGCCTCGCGATACGGCCCATTCGAGGGTGCACAATGAATATGAAGCGTGCGCAAACCTGAAGCCTCCAACAATGGCCCTCTTGTATACATTTCCCCCCTGGGCGTCAAACCTGGAATTAGAGTACTCCCCCCCCTGTATACATTAGTTGGGCGTGGGCATGTGACAAAGGATGGACTCTTCTTTGCAGCGACGCGCCGAGAACTCTCCACATGGAAAGGTCCGAGAGCGTCCTCCAGGGTTGCAATGCCCTGCGCACGGTACGCAAGACATCCCTCTGCTTCCGGGCCGAACAAGGAAGGCCATACATGTGGTGTAAATGGGGATGGTAACCGAGCACTGTGAGCGATGGGTATCTCTGGCCCGTGATGCTGGTGAAAACCTTGGCCCGTGACCGTGTGTCGATAACGGTCAGGCCCAGCTCATACCAGTCATCCCCCTGGCCCGTGCGAACATAGTGCGCAACTGCTAGAGCCGGAGCTGCAGCCCAGGCCGCGGCAGCCGAAGAATCCATCACTGATGAGACGAAGGGGATGGGGGCCTAAGAGGACGGCAATACAAGCCTTGCGTACTAAGCTAAGCAACCAGTCGCAGTGTCATCATGCGTGAAGGTGTCAAGCGCATGTCGGAGTTTTGTGCGGCAACATCTGCTCCAAAATACACGTGCGGTGCACTGACCACTGTCACTCGTGGTGATTTGAAAGCACAGTGCTGCTCTCACGTGGCAATGACCGCAGGCATTGCACACGCAAGTGTCAGCCAAAGTGTCCGAAGGGGTCGGGACCATGTTTCACACATTGTCTCCGAGGAGGCAAGTGGATGACAATGACAAACGTCCAGACCTGCTGCATAAAGCAGGACGGTGTTTCCGCTGATGCAATCAGATGCTTCTGGCTTCGAAGAGTCTGGCGCTGAAGGACTTGGGAACGCTCCCGCAGCAACTCTGATAAATAGCGATAAATAGCGCCGTCAAGAGGCGGCATCCCGTCCCCGCATCGCGCAGGATCTTGAGGGAAAGCCGACTGTCTACAGTAAGGAATCGGCCCCTCACTGTCGACACGGCCCTGTACAATGTCAAGCTTGGCCGGCTGCAGGAAGCACGACCATCCATCCAAATCGTCCAATGGCAGTGCATGCTCATCCGAGTCGCTGGCCTCTGCCGGAATCTGTGAGGCGGACCAAGAAGATGAGCTCGAAGGTGCCGGCTCCCCACGACGGTCCCTCTGATGACGAGGCACAACTCTCAGGACGGTACAGATCGCGTCACGCATGGCTTGTAAGCTGTGCAGTGTTTTGATGTCAGCGTAATGAGTCGACATAAGCTTTGGTTCTTTGCACTCGTCCTCCTTCTGAACGGGCTCTGTCTAGGAGCCGATGGCCTGCAGGGAAACTTCGTCCATCCGCAACGTGGCCCCCCCCCCGTGGGGAGAAACCTGCGAAGACGATTGTAGCCAACATGTGCCGCCACACTCTGAGGCAGTCCGCAGCGCAACAGCAATCCCCGCTTTTCCAGAAAACGCGAAGACTGAGTTGCTTTCCAACCTCAGCAGGTGTAGCCTCTAAAACCTGCCACGGTGCCACAGGTCCGCTGCCTCCGGGGCTTTGGCAACAAGAAGGTCGCTCCGCTCGTTTCTGAGCCAGAAACAAGCGCCGAACCTCCTCGAGGAGACTTTAAAACCTTCGAAGTGCGGATCTCAGGAAGGGCCCAAGCATTCGGGGGCCGAACCCCCCATGGAGCACCTGAACTCAAGCCAATCGTTGTGGTAGTCCACCAAGACTGAACGTTGCAAATGCTGGAAGCGGATGCAGACGGCAGCAGCCATGACGCAACAAGCGGCAAGTGACCTGGAACACCCGGTCAGGCTCGCAGTGCATGTGACCATATTGGCGAACTCCCATGGCCGCAGCTTTTCCCGTTGCTTTTGAACGTGGCCGGGAGCATGCAAGCGGTAGGGTTTCACCAAGAAGTGCTCAACATCAAAAGGCACACCCAAGTGAGTGCGCAACCACTTAAACATCTGGCGAAGAAAGGCAGCCAGCTCGCGAGCGTGGGGCCAGACAATGTCGAAACCTTGCGGCGCAGCAAACTTAATCCATCTTTTAACACCTGCGCAGATGCTGCTCACGTGGTTGTCTGACATGTGGAGTGCACATGCCAGGACCACTTGAATAGCGTCCCAATCTCGAAACTCATCCTGCAAATCCAATGCTGGGAACCCTATTTCATCGTGATCAAACACATGCTGGTATAACATCTGACCGCCGCCCGGCGCTTCTTTGGGACGGGAGTGGGGAGCAGGTTGCGGCGGGACGAACTGGGTCACCAAGCAGGCGGCACGAGATGGCCACATGATGCGATCCAGGTGATAAAACCGACGCTTCGTCGGACGCACTGCCGCCTTCGTGACCAAAAGCCCTTCCAACACCATGGCGCGGGAAGACGTCGGGATCAAGGGTGAAACATGTCGGTGTGGTCAGTGGTCGCCCACGCAGTATGTAGGCGGTTGTAAGGAACCCGCCCGTGCTTGGAAGAGGCCAGTGGCGTAGGCGACCGTGTGGCGGAGGAACTCCGCCAGGACGACTTCGGCGGAACCCGCGCCGCCGGTCGAGGATGGGGCGCGCGACGAAGCCATGACGAGGCGACGAGATGCGAAAGGAGGGTGAAAAAAGTCGAAAAGCGTGCGGGCCGAATGCTTCGCCAGTCGACCACTGACACTTGTTCCTACACCCACACTTACGTCACACAACATGAGGATGAAGTCCATGCACGACAATTATTTATGCACAATGTGACAATCGGCCTTCTATTTCGAAGGGAAGTCGCCCAGACAGCCTGAGGCGCAACGTGCAGCTGACGCCATGGGCCAGTAGGATGCTTCAGGCCCAGCACATGATGTACAGCAAGACCCCGAAGCTCCAGAAGTCAATTCGTCTGTCGTGCTGGTAAATCCACGCAGGCTCAACACAAAAACTCGTCAGAAGCAGAAGAACGAAGCCGGAAAGACTCATCGTATTGACCGGTCACAACCTGCAAGTCTTGCAGTGATCCCCTGGACAGCATTAGCTTGTTGGCCAGGCAAACTTCACGCTGCAGTCGTATGGATTGGCATCTGGTGCGACTTGGAGCTTGCCGGGTCGATCCGACCTGCTCTCATCTGAAGCGTGCCTCCGGTGCCAAGTAGTCCAAAGTTCCGCAAGCTGTCATTCCTCGTACGCTGAGCCGTCGGTAGATTCAAGGTTAAGAATCACAGTGATGCCGACCAGGCCTGCTTCTTGTTCTCCGACTCGTCGTAAGCACTTGGACAAGCCAAAGTCTGCGATCTTGACCTCGTGCCTCACAGAAACGCTTCTCAAGAGTACCGCATGAGGCAGCACGCACTGCCTGCTGAATCTCGCGAAAGCATCGAGTCGCGACATTCACTTTTGCACCGGTGGCCAGTTCTCGTCCCTTCAGCAAAGCCTGCAATCCAGGTTGACTTCGCCACTGGCTGGCACGGCCACACCCTGTACGGAGAAGAACTCTTTGGCTCACCAATGACCAGACCACGCATCATCGAATCGTCTCGATTATGCTTGGAACCCTCTGAAGCACGGAATACCTGCTCAACACTACAGCCGGCTCGCAGACATTGAACACCCTGCTACCTGCCGAGCAGGCTGCCGACTCTAGGGAAAATGTGACCAGGCGAAGTCTAAATGGAACTACGAGTAAGACTAGACTGCTGCAGCTGGTACCTGTGAGCAGCTTGCAGATTAAGAATCAACGACTGCCTGCCCTTCTCGCAGGCTGCGGCTACATTCGTACAACCCTCGCAGCATCAGAACAGAGAAGAACTCAAGCAATGAGCCGCGTGCAACTTGGCAGCCCAGGCAGGTCTCCACTGGCTTGGGACTCGCTACGGGTCAATGTTGGCTGCCCTCCGTCCATTCCACGTGTCCACTTGATCATGCCACAGGAGAGCAAGCTGATTAGCCTTGAGCGCTCATCGAATTGGCTCCGCTTGGGCTTCTGTCGGTCCTTGCCAAGACCACCAAGCAAACCGCGGTGCCATGGCATCTGCTCCGGCCGCTCAGGCTCTTGCAAGTTACCACTTCTTGCGCGCATGCACGAACTCGTCAATCCATCTCGTGAAACTGTTCGGCTGGAGGCCCGCTGCAGAGCTGGAACAGACAGACACATGGCCCAGAGTTCCTGGAACCAGGTGTAGGTCATGAAAAAGCCGAGCAGATAACAAACTCCACCAACACCCAAAATTCCAATGTTCTTTAGTCGCTCGCCCATTTGCACCCGATCTGGATCCATCTGTGCGGCAGAGAAGGACATCTCGCCTTCAAGATGGGATGGGGCACTTTGGGAGTCTCGTTTGTTGCAGCTAGGCATGCACGCTTTCCTGCCTAACCCGCCCGATCTTCCTGGGATACCGATTGCGACAAGGAACTGCGGGTTGCTGTGCTTCGGGATGGCACCGGGGTCAACCAGCATCCGCTTTTTTCCCGCCCAGACTCTCCCAGCGGTTTTCTGCTGCTTCCGCTTTTCTTGGTCTCGAGGCTCAGATGGGGTTGTCTTCGTCTCTTGACAGGCCTCAAACCTCAAACCTGCCTTCAGCCCTGAGTTACTTTCAATGCACTCCGCCTCAAGCTGACCTGTGCAAGTACTCCTCAGGCATTTCGCAGCTCTTTGCTGCATGTATGACTATGCACGGTACGACCAGTGGTAGGATGGTGTCCTGGTGCGTTCTGGTGCACCTCACTGGGTGAGTTGGTGCCGTCTCGTCCAACTTCCAACCCTCCTGCAAGCGATTGCCATGTTCAGCCACCCCACACACCACGCGTGTTCACACGGCATCGCAGGTCTGATGGTTCAAGCATGCGCCGCGGGAAGAGTCCCGAAAATCCTCGTGTTCTGCGCGCAATGATCGCTTGCAGCTTTGTGGTGGTTTGTGGCTCTCAGCGGACAAAGACAAGGCAACTCTAAGGAGGCAGATGGCAACACGGGATGCAAGATGATGCAAGTCTCGAATCAAACAGAGCTCCCAACCCACAAACCTTGCTAAGGTGCACGACAGACTTGAGCCACATGTCGCCCTTGGCCCTTGACAGTGCAAACCCGGGGGAACCCACCTGGAACTGCCTCGCCCAAGTGCGGGAGATCCTCTAACTCGTCGAAGCTGCCGCGGCAAAGCATCGGTCCGAGCTTGTTCTGCGATCGCTCAAACATTCCACCAATATTCATCCCGCACTTCTTGTCAAATGGAGCTGTGGTCCCGAAGTGCTGCAGTCCGAAGCTGATATCCACCCCGACATTGAACTTCAGCTCCAGGTAAATTGGAATTTCGCCTTTACCAAGGAATTGCTCGGCCAAGGTTCCAGAGGAGTCTTTGGAGATTCGACTGTCCATATATACTTTGATGGTTCCTTGTCCTTCTGACGGGAGTGTTGAGCCTTCCAGAAGTGTAAGCACACCAACATTCGTACCTTCCGGGACTGTAGCTCAACATGCACAGACTCTAGATTCGTTGGACTATAGACTATACTTGCCTTGATTGATTACAACTCCCCCTGGCCTCGATCTTTGCCAACGTACACATGACCGGGTGTGTCGTTCAAGATCTTGACATCGTATGGGTTGGGGTTAGAGCACAGCACGTGTATTTCCACACCCACGTGAATGGAGTCCCCGACCTCGAACTGCTTCAACAATGCAGTTTGATCACCGCACGATGTGGCTGTGTAGACGGGTGTAAATTTTATGAAGAGATACGTATTGAATAGTCCATATAATAGCATCAGCACTCCCAAGCAGTGCCCACATCCAGATTCGCGGAATGGCTCGGATGTCATGAGGGAACACTTCCTGAGATCCAACTTGAAAGGTGCTGCGGCACTGACGTTACCGGCGAGGTCCAAGGAGTCCTAGACACTCCATGGAGAGCTCTGACTGAGGAGTTATTACAAATGCGTATCGGATTTCAACCACAACTCAGCTGGAAACATTTCAGGTCGAAGTGGCTCCGGCCCGCAGAAGGAATCTGAGTTCTGCAGCCCGGCGAGACAACCCTTTCAATTTCGTGTTTCAGATGTCTTCTCGGGTCCTTGCGAACGATCAGGACGTTTTCCTCAGGAGCAGATTCTAGGGCTGGGGCGAAGTGTTCTCTTGAGTGCCCTGCAGGTTTTAGGTCGCGATGAATGACCTGCATTGCTGCGCAGCTACATGAAAGCTCTCTCGCAAAACGGGAAACCCCCACCTTGTGCGAGTGCATGTAGGCGATGCCCCCCAGAAGCTGCAGGGAGACGTGCCTGGAATACGTCCCGCTTCTTCGTAAATACGAAACATCATTCTTCGCTTCAAATGCGTGCCCATATCGACTCGAGGATGGCCTGGAGGACTGCTCGGAGCCGAGGCCGACTGCGGGCTCTAGCTTGCTGTGCAAGTCGCCGCCTGCGACTACCCAGCTCCCTCTCTCGCAGCTGTGCAAAGGCAGTCCGCCTCGCGCAAGGTCCATGACGATGTAGCACAAGTTTCCTTCCCAGAAAGCCTGAATGTATCAGGCTGTGCACTCTCGGGTCTGAGTCTTGCAACGCTGTATCGTTTTGAAGCGTAGCATCTTCAGCTGCGAGGGAGACAACTAGCGGCCTCTTTCAAGTTGACAATTCTTGGATGATGCAGCCTTGTGAATGCAAAGTGGCTCAGTGGAAATGCACACCTTCACCTGCAAAAAAAATAGCTTCCCGAGCTCAGCACTCGCGCATTACGCTGATTTCTCGCCTCAGGTGGGAGGGAGCGAGACTCGACGCGACAGGACCAAGAGAACAAACACAACTCGTGTCTTTTGCCGCCAGCACCTCAGGCTCGCCATTGTCCGCTCTCGAAGCCCGATGGCTTTTGTATTCACAATCTGGCCGCGAAAGGCAACACACACACACACACACACAAGCAGCACTCTTTCTCCGGCCTTCACGGCATATTCGTTTCCGGTACCAAGTCGCTTGCAAGCGTAGACACGGCCTCTCTTGCGGATGCATTCCAAGTCTGTGAGAAAGGACGGCGGCTGGGGAGCCTTGAGAGCCTCCTCCCAACTCCATCCCCAGTTCGAAGCTGTCATCGTGCAGCCCGAACCTATGACAGAAACGCCTCCGGTGCTTTAGCTGCACCGCCCTGGGAGCCTGGTGCCCTCCGCTGGAAAAGCACTTCGAGGAGGGGCCATGGCGAGGTCGGAAATGATGGCATAGAGCGGATTGCAGCTGTTCGAAGTGGGTTTCCCGGTGTCAGCGTCCCACTGTGAATGCTCGAACAACCGCCAAAAGGCAAGTTGCTACATAAGAGCCGCATAAATCTCTATTTGTCTGCCTGTGTACAAGGATACAGTTATACTAATGCTTGAGTACGTGTGTTTGTTTTGTCCGAATGTCTGCTTGTGTGCTGGTATGTTTGTATGATGTAAGTACGCTTGTGTGTGTGTGCGCGTGTGTTGGCTTGCTTGATTGTTGGCTTTTCTTGTTTGTGGCGCTTTTCTTGCTGAAGCTGTTGGCAAGACGCCGGCAAAGCAGAATCAGAGACAAACGTTCTGGTAGCGCATTGTAGCGCCATATCCCCAAGCCACGGTGCACGTGTTCGCATGCTGATGACATGGCTCGTCTTAAACCATTTGGGCACATGCCAGATGTGAGACCGGAGCTGTAGGATGTGCAAGCTTTTGGCACATTGAAAAAGCTGCTGCCTGCAACGGGGTGAGACTGCCGACGCGAGATGCCAAAATCAATGCGGAATGCCACATTTCGCAGATGCTTTAAGGTGTGACAAACAGGAGTGAGTATACAAGCATGGATCTGAACGGCATCTTCGCGCGCCTCTATTTGCATCATGCAGCACTCTTCTTGGGAAGCTGCTTTCCTCAGGGAAGGCTCTGGCCGCGCATTCACCGTCGTCCTTTGATTCCCGGCGTGGCATGGCGTGGCCTTCTTCAACACAACCCAACAACTCAACACACGTCGCTCGAAGCTTCCGTCTCAGTGTGACGCGCTCCGGCGACGGAAACATCGCCCCACTGCCGAGGCAAGCCAGGCATCTGCCTGGAATCTGCTACAATCCTCCGTCGGATCCCGAAGTAAACCTCTGAACTGAAAGCGCCTGGAGGGAGAAGGATCTCGCATGTGAGCGCCCTCCATACCTTCAGAGCATGCATCACGGTCATACGAGCAGGTCGCCACGCAAGAAGTGCTAGGGCTAGGGTGCTGGCAAACGCTTGCACCGACACCCTTCAGAGCCTCGTACAAGAGCACATCTGTAACTCTGGGCATCGGAGGCGAACGCAACGAGGACCAGACGGGATTCTGCCAATGTCGAGACGACAAGCCTGGTCGGCAGCTTGTGCAAGTGTGCGTTGCATATGTTGCCTGCTCCTTCCCAGTAACTCGCAAGTGAGTGGGTTAAACTCCTGTCTCTTGGTCCAGCACAAGCACCTAGCATTTCAAGTTGAGCTCTGTCTGGGCACTTTGGCAAAGGTTGAATCAGAGGTGTTTGCTGGTTGCCGTGTCACCACTCCTGGACATGGGCACCTCCAAGCTCGAATGGGCTGGTGGCCAAATGGCCAAATCGGATGTACTTGCGTGGGAGTTTGCAGTGGCATTTCTTCCATCATGTTCATCCAAGCTCTGCCCCTTTCCAAGAGCCTCAGAATGTGTGCTTTTTGAATCTTGTCTTTGTGTTAATCGTGAAGTCTCTGCAGCCGCTTTGGCGTTTCTTGTGCACTCGCCCCACTGATCACGCTTGGATGAATTTCGATCCCTTCCTGGAAACGCCTGCCGCCACGACTGCAACTGTCGCCACCAACTCACTCACGGGCAACCCTGAACCATGCAGATTGAATTATCGCCTGCATGTGCTGGTGGAAGCTTCAAGCTGTCTTTCTATGTCTTAGACTTATGAGCATAACTCGAGCACAGCATCCTGCACGGCGAGCCGGCGTGCCTCCCTCGTCATTGCTGTCAGCATGCTCCCGTCTTGCCTTGATGCGACTTTGAGGGAGCAAATGCTTCGCTCACACACGCGAGTGAAGCGCACCTCGCTCTGAATACTCGGCGACTTCTTCATCTGTGGGATGATCGGAGTTGCAATGCAGGCACGACATTAAGCTATCCCAGTCGCCTCCATGCCAGGTCCGCCAGCCTTCGGCGACTGTAGAAGTTTTGGACTTTCGACCGCAGGAGCACTCGAGCGCTCCGTGCCTCGGGCTGCGCCCGTGTCCCTTTGGCCTGCTCCTCGACACGTCGACACCGACGAATACCTGACAGCCTGACAGCTCTGCGTCCTCGCGGAGCATTCTCCGGATCTCGTATTGGATCAAGGGCCGCTGCAGGATCTCCTGGCTTCTAAACTCTAAGCCTCAAAGAGCCTCTAAGTCTAATTCTGGACACGATCACAATGCGCGTCTTGTCGTTCAAGCTTGGGTCGTGGGTTTGGAAGTCACGGACCACAAAATGCCGCTGGATTTGGAGCCTTGCATCTTTGATCATCTGATCTGTACAGATCGCCGAGGAGCTGCAGAAACGACAACTGTGCTCAGCAACAGACGATGCTGAAGGAAACCACAAGGGTTGCGTTGCGCGTTGCGTTGAACCGAAGGGCTCCATCGTCCTAGACCAAGTCAAGCCTGGCCCGGAAGTTTTGAATGCAAGTCGGATTCCTCGTGAATGCCAAAAACGACAAAAATTGTCTCCACAGCAGGGCTGCCTGCAGTTTCAGGCGTACCGAACGACCATACCATCGAGGGCACCTTTCCTTTTGACGTTAGCGACGTCTGTTCTCTTCAGGTTGACAGCGTCTGTGTGTCTTGTGTCCGCCTGTCGTTTCTCGAGGGTTTGTCAATGACCTTGTCTGGCAGATCCAAGAGAGCCTTTTGAGGCAGGTCAGTGCGCAGTGACTTGGTCCTGCGCTTGGAAACCCTTCGACATCACTCGGTGACAGTCATCCTCGCCCTAGTCGTTCTTAGCCCCCTGACCCTCGATCTGGGAGTTCACACGTGGCAGGTTCCCGAGGGTTTAGCCGTGTCTTTTTCGTGAAGTTTCCAGGCTTCGGGTTTGGGGTCTTGCGTTTGGGGCAACGGGCTTAGCAGCCGACAACAATTGGAAATAACAAAGAGAAGCGGCTAGGCGAAGGCTACCCACGCCGTTTCAAGCAGTCCTGGGCGCTCGGCCTCTGAGTTTGTTCACGATGAAGCAGATCACCGCCTCAGGGCACTTGACAGGCTGATCTCTTTCCATCTGGTGCTGCGATTTTCATGCCTACACTCGGCGGAAGCCACTTCAGAAGGCATCACATTCTTACTCCTGCCTGAAGTCGGGCTCATTGAAAGCTCTGCTGGGGAAGCCAAGGGCTAACACTACACAGGCCATCGCGAATTTCTGAGAACAAACTGTTTTGGGGCAACGTCCCTCCCTCATGCCATGTGGGGACGCGGAGCCTGAGTGCAGACTGTGTGAAATTGGCTAGGCAACCGCGAACATGGGAACATGTAGTGGGTTCAAAAACAGACCTGACTTGGTGAGACACCAGGATATTGAAATTGCATCGATGACGGGATGCAGGGCCGAGGGTGTCTTCAACTGAGACTGTTCTCTTTCCTATCTTCAAGCGTGCATACTCCCTCTGTCCGACAGATTGGGTGTATAGAAGATAACACGTATCGTGGAACGGCCACTCTTGCGCCCCAAGTGCTGCCTCCTCTCTCAAGTTTGCCCCTGCACGCCAGCCTTTCCACCTGACTCTGAAAACTGCTCGGCCCACTCCCGGCTCCATCCGTCAACTTTTAGTAGTAACGTTTTCGAGCACTCAGATTCAGTGTACGGCTGCTGCTCTGAATGGTTCTTCCAGGCTCCTCTCTGCCTTAGACTAAACCAAACCTGCAAAAGCTGCGACATCTGAGCAATCGGCACAGCTGCCTCAAATCATGCGAGTATGAATTCGGCAGAACCGGTGTTGGTCCTCGCCTGGATTCAAAGCGCAAGTTACCCGCATGAGACGTAGGATGCTTCAGTAAGACTACCAAGGCTTCCACGTTATCTTCTGAACGAGCGATTGCAGACTTGTTGCCTGAATCGGGCTTGCACAGCGGCCAAGACTGGTGTTGCGGCGGTCCATGTGAGGCACAGGCATCAAAGGGAACCCTGAGACAAGCGAGCTCATACAGCACGCAGCCCAACGCCTTGATCAGACAGTAACTCGGCATGGCTCAAACAGGAACATGCGGTGTTTCCACAGCATCTGACCCAAATGTCGCTGCTAAAGGTGTAAGGCTTTTCCAGACCTCACGGCAGTCTCTAATGGTTCAACCTGACCACACTGCACCAGTGCTGCGCCATGTTCTTTCAATCTGAGCAAGCAGCAGATCTCTGGACTCAGGTAGTATGGGGTGCCAATCGTTGTCTTTGCGAAGGCACACGTGCTTTCCAACACCTTGCTTGGTGCAGAGTCAACGGAGCAACACATCCTTGCAAGAGCCGTGCAGCAGGGCAGCTGTGATCCATCGCTCAAGAAAGCTGCTCAGTCGGACACTCTGGAAATCCCAAAGTCTCCTATTCGCAGACGATCCTGGCGATGGAGCAGGTCTTGAGGCTCGGAGCAACGCAACAGGGAGGGTCCTGAGCTGTCAAGAAGAGGTTCTGGCTTTTCAAGTCCCTGTGCAGCACATGCTTGTCCTGCGATCGGAAGCTGCGCTTGCACAACTTGCTTCGACTGACTTTTTGTGCCAGAGAAGCAGCGTGTCATGCAAGTACTTCAGTGCCAGCGCCGCTTCTGTGAGCCACCTGCTAAGGCTCGGAACTAGGAACATGCCCATGGGCCCATTAAGGCAGCGATAGCGCGTGCGAACGACTTCGCAAGGTCGCCTTACGATCCTTTCCTCGGAGAAGCTTTTGCCGGCTTGCCGTGTGCGTTGGATTCGTTGATGGAGGTCCCCGCCGTCCGCATAGTCCATGACCTCAGCGACAACATGTGCATGGCAATGCCAGCTCAGCAAGTCCAAAAATCAAGCGTGCGGCTATGGCCAAGTTTCGGCCTTCGGACATGTAGCTTTCTCTATAGGACCTGACCGAGGCATGCCGATGCCATTGGTTTGGCCAAAGGAATCGTATCTGGGACACCGGCACGATGTATGGGTGCTTCAGAGACGACAGCACCCGCACCTCGTTGATGGCGTCCTGTGCTCGGGAGAGGCTTTCGATTTTGGCGGCGTTCAAGTGCAAGTGACACACCTGCCATATCCAGTGCAAAACAATAACGACTTCTTCTGGTGAAGGCTTTATGCGCTGTGATACCGACTTGTGGCAGTCGTCGTAGTTCTTTGTGGTCTGCATTGTCGGGTCCTTTCTCTGCTTGGGGTCCATTCGGCTCATGTCGATGATCTTCATCACATAGAGCTTGCTTTCTTTATCCTTTGGTACATGTGGCACGACCCCAGACTTCAAAGGGCGAAGGCCTAGCATGGGAATCAGATCTCGTCCTGTACAAGAACCGCTTTGCCATAGCTGCCTTATGTGGCAACGAAGTTGCAAGCCGTCAAAAAAGCGTCTATGGCAGAATGGTGAGAATGCGCCGATGCGCCTGATCCAATGTCCTTTATCTTTGTGTATCCTCTGGATGTGGTGGCCGCGGCAGACTCAGAGCTCATCGCACCTGACTGGACCAAGTGCAAGGCTTTCCCACAGGCGAAGCGAATCCAACGAAAAGTCTTTCCGAGCATCGACATCTGAGACTAAGCTGCAGGCTGCGGGTGAATTCGTTGAGTTACGGACATAGAATGTGTCAGCCAGCTGAAACTTGTGCCACGAAGATTCTCTAGCACGCGATCCGATCCAACTTGATATGTGTAGGCATGCATCTGCCTGCAGCTGCATCGAATACTTGACTTTGGTTTTTTGCTCCCCCAACCAGGTGCTCTTCTGTAGCGGAGCCACGGAGATTTCTGATACATACCCGCACCGCATCAGCTCAGGTCCATGCTAAAACATCTTCATGCCTCCGTGACGCTGTGTGATGCCCTTGAGCCTTTAAGGAGACACGAACAAAGCTGGCAACCAGGTGGGTCAATCTGCTTGTGCCAATGCTTCGGCTGCGGAGCCTACAGCACGAAAAGCCCCTGGGCTAAGACACATTTGCAGCTGTCGCAGCCCATCGTATGGCAGACCAGATTTTACACAGCCGGTCACCGCAGTCTTTCACGGGCGGGCTACGGAGCGGTGACAGTGGCACCTGGCCAAGGTCGCTTGTCTTCAACGTTGAGGCTGTGGCGATAAACACTGCAAGGCCTTGTTCAAGCGCAGTTGCTCCCTGCGGACGAGTGAGTCGGCGCAGAGAAGAGAGGAGAAGTCCTGGGGTCTGCTGAGGCCCTGGCAGTGAGCCAGCTTGGAAGGAAACTCGGCAACCAGCTCTGCTCTGAGGCTGCCTGCGAGGCTCTGCGCTTTTCTGGAGGGGCACCGACGGGTGGACTGTGACTCGAGGTGCCACTTTGAGATGCATCATGGTGCGCGGGAGTGCCACACGGTGCCAGCACCCGGTTTCGATTTGCATGACGCTTCCTAATGACTCGTGACAATTCACATGTCGCGGCATGCGCTGGCCATGAGTGCCACGTCGCGACGCTTGTATCTGTGTCGTCATGCCCGGGCCGTCTCAGAGCGCAGCTGTTTGGGACTATGCAGAGCCTTGCGTAAACTGAGCACATGTCGCTGACACCGCAAGCAGAACCAAACAGCACCTGATGCTCTCACCGGTTTTTCTCCAGTATCTCAAGATAACGACTCAGTTGACATGCCTCTGGCTCGCTCGTTTGTTGCACCTGACAATTGCATGCAAGCGAGTGCATGATGCGACACATCAGTTGTCCGGCCTCAGACCCGTTTTGCAGAGCTGCAAGCATCTGGCAGAGCTTGGCATGCTCGGCCAGGTCTTCTGCACTTTTGCTACGCCTAGGCTTCGGAAGCAAGGTGAACGGCTCGGAGAACTCACAGCCCTGAGAACCCGACACTTGCGCCAGTTCTTCCATGCCGCGTGCTTCCTGTGCTTCCGCCTCCTGCAACTTGGAGCTTGGGAGGGTCCGGAGATGCAAAGAACTCAAGCTGGACAGGGCACCTGCAGCTCAGATTTCAACACTGCCACCACACCAGGCTGCCTGAATCAGACCATTCGGACCCCAACCGCGCTTTCGTTTGCTCAGCAGTGGATCGGCGCCCAACTCCTGTGCACGTCTTCTTGCGATGGCTGCATGAGCCTGGCCGCGACTCGGAGACCCAGACTGCAACGCGAAGTTCCTTCTACAGAACACTGCCTCTCCCAATTCGGAAGCAAGTTCTCGTGCACGGCCCCAGGCAGCACCACAGGAGTCTTTCAAGTCCTTTGCAACAGTGCCCCTGTGGTGCCCCCCTCCTTTTGAAGTTGCTGAGCGGACGCATTGAGGTCATGAGCACTCAAAGCCGCGGTACGTGAATAACAGGGAGTGTATCTCTCTCTTTGCTTTGCTCTGGGGCATGGAGAACGGGTATCCACCATTTTGGCAGGATGGGCTTGGCTCTACTGAAACAGGATTCTGAAGAATGGCAGGTCCCCTGGGCCAGCAACCACGCCCCTCACTCTCTGTTTCTTCTTTCTTTCGCCAGGGCTATGGTGCAGGAGGGCTTACCCCCTACACCGCGCGCTCGTGCGCCCCCGACAGTTGCAGAGGACATTGGGGCAACACGCTAAACCACGACAGTCGGGCGCCTAACAAGGAAAAGGCTGCCCTCAGCTACTGGACTCCGGCAAAGGCTGTCTCCCCCTCTCTCTCTCTCTCGCTCTCCTTCCCCCGCTCTCCCGGGCATGAGGGACGGTCAGGTCCCCCGGGCATCCCTTTGTTTCTTTTTTTCTGCCGGGCTTAGGGGTCGGTTGGCCCGACCCTCAGGCATTCAGCCCGCCCGTCCCGCACCATGTATAAGTGAGCTGACGGCATTGGGATCCCAACGTACAGGCAACGGCGGCCAGGGATGTTCCATGTCTTACAGCCGAAAGCCCCGGCCCTTTACGCTAAGGACCCCCAATGTGCCTCATCACCGCGCCCTTACGGCACTCATCGGGGCTTTCATTGGGTTTTGGGTGGAGCATCCCCATGCAGCTGTTCAATGCCGCTGAAATGCGAAAAAAAAAAAAAGATGCCGGTTGAATTATCCCCCTTGCTTATGAGCTCAAGAGGGGAGCGAGGCAAAGAATGAAGAATGAGGTAGACGGATGAGACATGGTTAGCGACGGAGTGACAAAGAGATGCAGGCAAATGGAAAAAAACTCGTCAGGTTGTGACGGCATTTGCAATGAGGCGTTTCCCCCAAAGGGAGGTTATGGTACAGCGTGCACGTACAGTCCCCCGGCCTGAGGATTCGAAACTTGGGATGCGAGGTGCTCCTTGTAAACACAACAACGAACACATGTAAGGGAAACCCAGGAACACAGCGCTTACACTTCTCGGTGCCCCCAAAAACTTTTTACACGCACTCCCAATACTGGTCCTCCTACGTCTCTCTCTCTCTCTCTCTCTCACTCGGGCATAGGGACCGGTCAGGGCCCCCGGGCATCTTGCCCACCCGATGTGTTCTCATCTCTCTCTCTCTTTCTCTCTTTCTCTCTTTCTCTCTCTCTCTCTCTCTCTGTGTCTCTCTCTCTGTGTCTCTCTCTTGCTTGCTTGCTTGCAGGGTGTGTGGGGCGCAAGGACGGACCCTGCTACCCCTGCGCGCGAGCGCTGCGCCTTGGTTCGTGTCTTGTGTGAGACTTGCTTAAGCATGCTTGCAAGGCTGGTCCCCGGAAACAGTCAAATTAGCAATATAACAACACACAAGTGTCTGTCTCTCTCTCTCTCTCTCTCCTGGGCGTGAGGGTCGGGACAGCGTTCAGGTCCCTTCCCTCGTGCCCGCGCGCACACCCGCGGTTCGCGGGGTGTCTTTGGGTCCCCCCCAATTTCTTTCTCGGAAACGCTCGGCTGTACTAAAGAAGCAGAAGGTACTTGCGCGGAAATGCGTCGGGAATGTCCCCCTTGAACTAAGAACTCACAACACGAAACGCGTTAGTAGGATAACCCTCAACCCTGCAACTGCTCCAGCGACAAAAAATTTGCCTCTCCAGACAGACACTCCCCTGCAAAGTCAATGCGTCAGCACTGTGATGCACTGTGTTGGGGTAGAAGGACAAGCTTGTATCGTCACCCCGCTGTTTGTAAGCAGGCACCAGTAGAGTTCTCAAGGACGGATTGAAATTTAAATTCAAGCCTTCTATTTCCCCCGAATTCATGTATCAACAGCTGCCTCAAGACGGTGTGCTGAAAAGAAACTAGGATTGCAGGCCAGGTTGGGCCTCTGGTTGAATGAGTTTGCCCGAGAAGGATCGAGAGGAGTTGTCCCCCCGGCCCTGTTTACAGAATTCACACCCCGAGGTAAAGCAAAACACGAACGAACTGTCACGGAGCAAGTGCAACTTTTACATGGCCCTTTCACTCGGCGTCCATCTCCATCGCAGCACTTTCCCCTGCTTTGGGTCATTCCCCCGCTGCAGCGGTCTTCCTCATCTCCCTGATTGCTTTCGGAAGCTAGGTTGGCATGCCGTCCACCTTCACAACGGATGCGGCAGATACCGCTTGGCTCTTTCATTGCCATCTCTCGAAGTTCACGAAATTTCACGAAGTCGCGCTTCGTGCCAATAACTCAGTCATGTAGATCTCGCCGTCCCGTGCCCAGTGAACAAGTACTCTGGGAGGTGCGGTTCAGGGAGCACTGTGAGGGAAACACAAGTGCGGAGGAAAAACTCACAGTCTGCACAAGGGTCCGAATTGAGGCTCTTGCACTGCCCCCCTTTACTAGGTCGATGTAGTGTCACGAACTTTGAGTTGAGTTTGCCTGGCAATGGCTCACACCCCCCCAGACGAGGACTAGGTACTTTCGCAAGTGGGCGAGGATCCACACTCTGCGGCACAGTCGGAGCGATTCCCCCCCGCCCACCCGCTTGAGACGCTCGACGAACTGGATGATGGAGTCGAAGATGTAGGCACCTTGAGCCTCCCACGTCTTTCTCTCTCGCTCTCTCTCTCTCTCTCCCTCTCTCCTGGGCTTGGGGACCGGTCAAACTCCCCGGGCTTCAAAGCCCACCCAATACCTTGATTGTGATACGGGGAGTGAGAAACGAGTATAGTGCATCCATTGGCTGAGGCCACGTCTCTCTATAGGGGTTCGTTCTAGGGCTCAGGGTCAGTGCGGAGTTTTATCCGGATGAATTTCTGGGGCCTGAGGTTCAGAGCCAGCAGATCTGAAGATAAAACTCCGGCCTGACCCCAATGTTCAGAGATCCGCATTCCGAGAACACATAGACAATTCCATTGACAAATCCACCGGGCTGAGGCAGATAAAACTCTGTGGAACAACCCCTCAGTACACCTATTTAGAGAGTGCGGGGGGTGCTACGAGCACATCTGACGGGCTTCAACAACACGAGCTTGGCGATGGACACTTCTTTTTGGCTGCACCTCACAGGTCGTTTCACAATCTCCCCAAGTTGTCTGATTTCTCTGCCCCAGCCCAGGGTCCCGAGGATAAAACTCCGGGGCCTGACCCCAGAGTCGCGAATCCCGCCCCAGCAAGGCAACACTGAAGGAATTCATCATTAACCCCGTGCTTCCCCTATCCTGCCTCACAATCCCCAATCTCAGCACCCAGCCTACCCCAGCACCCCAGAGTCGCGAATCCGCCCCAGCAAGGCAACACAGCAGGAATTCATCAGCAACCCGTGCTTCCCCGATCCTGCCTCACAATCCCCAATCTCACCACCCAGCCACCCCAGCATCCCAGCCCGAGGTCCACAGGATAAAACTCCGGGGCCTGACCCCAGAGTCGCAAATCCACCCCAGCAAGGCAACACGGCAGGCATTCATCGGCACAGGTTGAACCACGCTAATCCTGGCCACTCCCACACTGTCCACACTCCCCAATCTCAGCACCCAGCCTACCCCCAGCATCCCAGCCCAGGGTCCCGAGGATAAAACTCCGGGGCCTGAACCAAGAGTCGCGAATCCGCCCCAGCAAGGCAACACAGCAGGAATTCATCAGCAAACGCGTGCTTCCCCAATCCTGCCTCACAATCCCCAATCCCACCACCCAGCCTACCCCAGCATCCCAGCCCGAGGCCCAGAGGATAAAACTCGGGGGGCCTGACCCCAGAGTCGCGAGTCTGCATGCCGAGGGTTGGGTGCATGGTTGCTATTCTGGTTGTCTGGGCCTATCTCTCAGTATTCTTAATTCTCATGGATCTCAACCCAGACGGCACAAGATAAAATTTAAGGGGCCTTGACCGCAGAGGCGCGAAACCGCATGCTAAGGTGAGATCGCAAGGATTTTATCCCGCCTCGGTTCTTTGTCTATTCTTATTCTTCTTACTCATGGATCTCCGCACAGAATTTCACAAGATAAAACTCCACAAGGCTTGACCGCGGAGTTGTGAATCCGCAGGCTAAGGTCAGACAACAAGGTTTTTATCTGGCGTGGTTTCTATGGTTAGGCATCGCGACTCCAATCTATGTATATTTAGACTATCTGAACCCTTCGGACTCATGTATCTCATGTGTGTCCCTCGTGTCCCTCGGTAAGTCTGCAAATCGCACATATCGCACACAGGAGAACCATGAGAGCATGCTGAGCCATTTCGCAATTCCAGAAGCTCTCCATCCAAGCCAACCTACACCACCCTGCCCCGGATAAAACTCCAGGGCCTGACCCCTCGAAACAGCTACTGGGATAGAAATCAGCCCTAGCCATTGCTCGAACAAGCACCCTGGATAAAATCCTAGGGCCCAAGACTTCGACATGAACACCCGATAAAAATAGAGTTTGCGGCTTGACCCCCGGAATTTCATCCAGGCAGAAGCAACCCCTATGTCTCTCTCTTTCTCTCTCGCTGCATCTCTCTATCTTCTTCAACACAGACAAAGGCCCGTTCGCGTGAGCGACCCCCACGAGTTTCTGCGACTGGAGGACAACGAAGAACGCCACGGATGCAAGCACAGTTTCCCTAAACACGAACGGGTGCGGGTAACGGGAACTCATAGGAACGGAGCCCAGCACCGTAACAGCAACCGGCATATACCCGTAACAGCCCCGCAAGCAGGCCCTCGAGCATAAACTGGTGGGAGGGCTCCAAGACTTGCTTGCACATCCAGCATCTCTTCTTGGCTCTCCAACTCAGGGACCGCTTTCCGGTCCCTCACTTACAAGGGTTCAGACCTACGATTCCAGCATGCTTTTCGGACATTATTCAACTCTAGCTCTACCAACCCGCCTGAAGGCTAAGCCTGCTACTCGCCTCCTGTAGGCAAGTGCATCCGGTCTGTTATGGGCCCCGGCCTGCTCTACGAAAAGCACGACTATCTGGTCACGCCCTCTTGTGCTGGTCTCTGCAGCTAGTTGCAGGCATTGTGCGATTCACTCAGAAAACTGTTCGTGAGTTTGCGGTCAGGGAGGTGGCAGACTTGTTGCCATCGGTGGAGGCGGCCCCTTGCCATCGCCAGGTGTGAACCGACTGATGAGCCCTCGGGGTTGGATGGGCTGCTTTAGCGCGCAGTACCTGCGAAGGGATCCAACGGGAAGAGCACTAGCCATGTTTGGCAGCAGCCACCTACCCGCGTCCTGTCGGGGACGCTCCAGACCTGGCCCAGTACCGTCGCGAGCGATTGCATCGGGAAGAGCCGTTTGAGCTGGAAAGTTATCGAGGACGGCATGCTGTCTTGCCCTTATGCCAGCCTTCCCAGCAATTTTTTCCTAGGAGGGCAGGGGGCGGGCTTGCCTAGTGTCCTCTCTGGTACGGTTTCGAGAGCCCTGTCATGGTTAAGGGTCCATCGGGTTTGCCATGATGCAAGGCGTTGGTGTTTAGCCGACCTGCAGCCTTGCACTTTAACCTTCGGGCGGAAGCAACGGCTGATCCTGCTGGGGCCTCACAATACCCAGCCACACTCACTCACTCACTCTCTCACGACTATCTGGTCACCGAATTACTAGCGGTTCTCTTGATCGTTCTTGGCTCTATCGCTCTATCTGTCTAACTATCTCAAAGATACATAATAGAGATAGATTATGCCTGCACTGGGCTGGTACGGCCGGCTACCACGGCCAAGCTGCGGAGAGAACACACAGGCTAATTCGGAATACTTTGGAATACGGGAGTGGTGCCTCCTGCATGCAGACCTTGAGCCGACGCACGCGATTGTCTCCAGCACTTGAGGTGTTTGGGTTCACCTGAGTATGCCTGAGTGATGTCGATACTGTACGCGCATTTTCCTCGGTGCTCAAAACTGCACTTTGAGCGGGAGTTTTGCGGCCGACCTGTCCCGAGGATCCGCAGCGTTGCTTCAGCCCCTTCATGCTTCGGACCTCTGATCTTTCCACAGGCTTGTGTTGAATTGCCAAAGCCCGAGGAAACAAAAGGAAGCATACCGCGGAACGTATACGCTCGTGGTATGCAACACCGGCACGGCTGTGACGTAGCTCGAGCCCTGCGTTCCTCCGCGGTGCCGATCGTCTTAGTCGGCGTAGTGTTTACCAAGCGATGACTACTGTCATGGCCAAGACGACCATGAGCATCTGGTCGGCGATGCGGACAATGCGACGACAACTCATGTCTCGTCTTGCTTCTTACCTCCGATCTCAGCCATATCATTTTTCGGAGAATGTAATTTCTTTTCAAGGTCCCTGATCCGTGGAAACTTGCCTCGCACTTCTTTGTCACTATGTAATTTTGCGATCCCGCCCCATGTCCTTGTATTCGTTGGCAGCCCGGGCACTGCTCAGTGACCTCGGACGGCTACGCGGCAAAGCTTCCCAACATGTGACATGTAGACAAGCCGGAGCTTTTGCAGTGTCCAAGCCTGCATGCAAGGACTTGACTCAGCTCATCGCGCAGGGCCTCAGACGGAAAGCTGCTCATCATAGGGTTACTTTCTGAACCTTGTTGCTTTAACGGGGTTGTTTTCTGCTGCGAGTGCCAGCTGCACCGTGCACATGCCCACTCGTAGCTTTTGCCGCAGCTTTTGGGCTTCCATACCATCAAAACCACAGCAGCTCCACTTCTTCTGCCTTCTTGGCATCTTCGGGGTGACAGGTTGGATATCTTTCACGCAAGTAAACAAAGCAAAGACAGCGCGTCAGTGCCTGCAGCCTTGCTGCAACTCCGCCTTACAATCCCTGGCCTGAGTCCAGCACCTGTTCACGCTGCCGGCCTGTCAGGTCGGACCACACAAAGGACCCTCAGCCTCCCGCGCGGAGGAGGCCTTCTGCCACCCGTCTCTCCATGGCCTGCCAATTCGACTGTGCAGCTGGTAAAGTTTCAACTCTGGGTCCTTAAATTTTATGCCGTCTGGATGGCGAAGGTGCGTGCACTGCATAGAAGAGCGATGTTGGGAGAGCACGGGACTTCTTGGGGTTTGGAGATGTTTGGAGGGTTTCTCGGTTCCGCCTCCAGAACTGCCGCTGACGCCGACTTCTGGTCCTGCACGGCAGACAAAGTTTGACACATCTGCAAGGTAAGTCTTCAAGAAACATGCGGATCTGAAGGTTGGGCGTGACAAGCCGAGAACAAGTGGGCATGATTATTCCGTCCCAGGTTTCCGTTCTCGACTGATGTCTCTAGTGTCAACAAGGCCCACCGAACCCAACGCAGTAGCACAATGCCTCTTAAAACCCTCTTCTGCACGAAGTCGCTGCAAACGACGTGGCTGCTTGAACTGCAACGGGAAAGGAGCTTGGTGATCGACGATGTCTGTGCAGCTGTGAACCGAAGCAGGCGCTACGTAGTGCAGCGAAAGAGGAAGGTGTGTACGTAAACTACCGTCTCACGCGTCCTCCGAAGGTGTGACCACCTCGCCTCGCGTCGGTGTCCTAGCATCCTGACAACTTCTAGCCGACGTGCAGGCTGTTGACAAATGCTAAGGGCATTTCTCTTTCTCCCGCTTGCTTCCGTCGCTCCCTCTCTCAGGTTCCGACAACAGACCTTAGATTCAGCAAGGACCAGTGGTGGCTACACCTCTTCGGGTCAGGACCGGAAGGTAGGCGCCGAACCTTTCTCTGAGAAGCCGTCGCTGCATGGCATGCAGCTCGCTTTCACGTGTGGCCTGAAATCTGTGTTTGACAAAGGTGGCTTAGGAACACGATCGTCCGGTCATGACCTTTGCTACATTTACAATAATGTCAGATGTAAGCCGAATTAGGCCTGTGTCCCAAGACTATGCCGAGTGCATGCGAGCAGCGACGTGTTGATTCAAGGAGTCCAGCTTGGCCTTGCGCTGAACAGGGACTTCAGCCATGCAGCTGCACAGGTGGCAGAAGTGGCATGCCGCTTTCCTCAAGTTCTGAAGCTTCTCGATGGAACTGCTCAACTTCGGCGACCTTGACGAAAAAAGCACGAGCGCACTCTGACATCGTGAAGCGGTGTGCGTGCCCTGCCTCCGCACGGTTAGCACGTTCAGCCTTCACGGAATTGACATCGGGAGCTCATGACATGGCCAAAACCTGCTTGTCTTGATGGCCTCATCGATTTCGCGCCGCAGGCTTGTTCCAAGCTCTGCCTGAAGCCGTGCCAAAACGACGAGAAGCAGCAGGAGGCGGAAACTATGACTAGCAGCCCATCCACCGTGCGGCCGCAAACAATTGTTCCATGTGGGCCACCGCAGGGAAAAAGGACTCAGATGTGTCGTCAACAGTGCAGACAGAAGCCAGACGCCTTGAGAATTGCTGGGTCCACAATGCGTCGACTTGGTCCCTCCGAGACTCCCTGAGAAGCAGGTGCATCGCTCCATGCAAAGACACAGAACACCTGCCTGCAGTACTGCATATGCCCGAGCTTCAGCGATCTCGGAACTTATCGCCTCCGCGACGGTGACTGCAAGTCTAACTATGACCACGGCCGAGTCTTTAAGCTGTGGCAAGAGATTTTTTCCCGAAGTCTTCGAGAGCACGCGAGCTGTGAGACCATTTCATGTCTCAGATGGGGTCGGGCCCCGTGACACCCCGCACACATCCGCACACCTCGTGCCTCGCAGTGAAAGGCGGTCTTGGAGAGCTGCTCCTCGCGAAGCTGCTCGGCCTCTACGACTGCTTCGGCTTCGCGACCTCGTGCCAGCACAGAGCACCGCAGGGCGGCATCCGCACGCGTTCCCAGGGAGTCCGGGAGCCCTGCGGGCCGCAACTTCTGCGGCGATTCGGCGCCTCGTCGCCCTCATGGTGCTGATCCTGAGCGGAGCGTGCGCCCAGCATGTGCCCCCCCCCACCCCGCGCTTTGCCACATTCCCCATAATTCCGGTCGCTCGCCGAGAAACTCGGCATTCCTGGCAGCTGCTTCCGCGGTGGCAAAGCGAGAGCGTCTGCCCTCAAAAGCCTCACACGAGAATGCTGGCCAACGTATCGGTCACGGTCAACGGCACAAGTACAGCCATTTCCCAGGATTCCTCGGTTGAGTAGCTGCTTTTACCGAGGGTGTGGTGGTGCAGAATTACATCTATGCAGAGAATGGAAGCTGCAGGAAACTACTCCGTGCCTCGCGAAGTGCCGCTGCTCGAGCCTCCTCCGACTCAATCTCACTCTCCAGGCTACCTTTGCTCAGGAAAATGATGCCGTAATTTTGGTATGCTGGCATCTTGTGCAAAACTCTCAGCTTCGAGCCACAAGTCCTCCGGCAGCTTCGGATGTCCACGTTGAGGTCGGTGGCCTGACGACCTCTTATGTGCCGGAAAGGGAAACAATGCTTCCTTCAGTGATATGTTCCAATCGCTGTACGATACCGGGTGCCCAGCACGCCTCGTCTGCCTCAAGTCCGCTTGAAAACCAGCACACTGCTGTCCATCTCCCAGCACCGCGCAAGACACTCTAGAGACACCTCGGCTTCTTCGAGATCTCTTCGGGAGACAAGGGCCTCGCACCAGTACCGGAATCTCTGCTAGGGCTCCCTGCCACATGAAGTTCGACTGAGCGCAAGGCCTCAATCTCGCGGTGCTGCTCATCTTTGATTTCCTCATGGCCTTCGCTGAGAGCGGCCAAGCAGTCTTCCGTGCACTCCGAAACCAGGGCACGAGCATCGCAGATCGTGCTGCTGCGCTTGCAGCTTTAGGCAAAGGTTCTGAAGCGCCTTGCCAGTGGGAGGGCAGGCATTCCGGCTAGGCTTGCTGGAGGCGGCCTGGTCAGCATTCAAGCTTTGTGAATGAGCACCTATGCTTCGCAGAACGTGACAATGCCCAGCAATACCAGCATTGAGGTATCAAAGGCGCACACCATGCGCTCCATGCGCGGCAGCTCTTGTGCCGGCTTCATTCTCCAACCTGCCAAAACAGCACGCCCAGTGTCTCAGCGACACGGTGACGTGTTGGCACTGCACAGCTCCGAGCTCAGGGCTCTTGCACTACGAACTGCCTCAGGTTCAGCGCAAGTCAAGACACTGCTATGCACGCCTGCTTCCATTCGGCATAACGTCAGGGCAGCAGGCTCCTCGCGTGTTGAGGCCGCGAGCTGCTCGCACAAGCCGCGCAGCTGCTCTGTCTGAGCCTTCACTCGAATAAGCGAATCTCGAGGGAATAGGCCCTCCCAGACTCTGCCCAACAGGCGCAGATCCATTTCGACGCGCGTCTCTCTGCTCTCCACTGTCTTTCCCTTTTCCTCGGATGCCTCGAGATGTTTCCGTGAGAGCCCGGAGCTGCAGGCGAAGAGCCGGTCCTGGCAGCAGGGAACGCGCCCTAAGCTGCGGAGCCGCGAAGAGAGGAGGAGGAGCAGGAGGAGGAGTGAGGTTCTCTTTGCAGTTTCTTTTGCTTTTGTTTGGAGGCTTTGGGTGGCTTTGGTTTTGTCATCGCCGCGCCTGAACGGCCGGGGTCAAGGCAGCAAGGACAGGATGAACAGGTCCCTTGGAAACAAAGTCGGTCCCAGCTGATTGCAGTCTGTGCTGCGTTAAGCTCCACGCAAAGAGAGCCAGTCCAGGCTCTGAAATGTCCTTCAGTCCACGCAAGGCTGACCTTTATCCACACCATGGTCGATCAAGCTCCCTTGTTCACAGATTCCTCTGCTCTGGAGGTTGCCATCATGGTCGGTGTGGGCCTCATGACTCTGTCCCAGGATACTGATCGCCCGTGACATCGTTTGACCACCAAGGTCTCTACGAGCCAGACACAGGGATACCTGGCAGTTCAGTACGGCGCCAGTCTGCAAGCTCTGGGGCCGGTGCTGCCCATGGCTGCCTGCAGCCTCGGCCTTGGCACGAAACGACTCAAACCAACTGTGGATCGTGCAAGCAGCCCGACATGAAAGGCACTGCATGACACAAGTCTAATGAGATAGGAGGATCAACTCCGCACGTCATGACTGGAATAAAAAAGCTTCGCGCGCACGCAAACAACCTGCAATTGATCCACATCCCTGATCACTATCCTCGCATGTGGGCTGTGCGGCCTCTTCCGGTCTTTGACCACGACGTCCTGCATCAAAATTGCTCCTGCGAGTCCCGTCACCTTCGCTGCACTGAAGCTGTCCTGTGCTGGGCGGGCTGCGAGGAGAGTCTGCCTGAGGGTGCGAAGCTTTGCAGACTTCGCTCTCTGCTCAGCCTGGGAGCCCTACTTGAGCCGAAGCCGGCCTCGGCCGTTCTGAGGCTTGAGACATGTTGAGACATGGTCTGAAGACGGAACTCTCCTGTGAGAACGCGACCCATATTGCATGATCAGCAAAGACTGAACCTCGGCGAGCAAGCAAAACACAACAAGTTCCACGACGTTTCGCAAGCACTGTTCCCACTGCAAGTCGTTTGAGTCTTTTAAATGGGCAGCGAGGACAGTGCAAGCATCTTCTGCAGTGAAACCGGTTCAAGCCCTCGGTGAGGGACAGCAAGGAGCACTGTGCGGAAAAGGTTGAGAGCCTGACACGCTCTGTAGATTTTCGCTCTGACAAAAAATCTGCTGCGAACGACGAAGACCGTACTTTGCTGCATCCCATTGCGCTTTTATGTATCAAGTTTCATGTATCTTCCTTCGATGCTCTCACGCGGAAGGGGCACGAAAAGCACCATTGGCCTCCGGTCTGGATAGCTGGGAGGGCCTCGCTTCAGCTCACTTTGCACTGCTGCGCCTGAAGTGCTGAAGAAGTGAAGATCCAAGGCATCCAAGAGGCAGCAGGTCGGCCGCGGCTCCCAGCTGCCGCAGGGTGCGCCTTGGCACTCAGGGCCCTTTAGGGGTTTCAGCATGTTTGTCAGCCACAATACACGACGCCTCTGCATTTCGTCGACAGCCGGGCCATAACCTCCAAAACGCTCGCATCAATCACGCAGCAGCAGGGGTCTCGAAGGAAAGCTATGTAGGTCAGGAGCTATCCAGTCTCAGAACCTAGGCATCACCTGTAGATGCATAGAACCTTTGGCTAAAAGCATCCCCCAAAACAACACACACGCACGCACGCACGCACGCACGCAAAACCCACGCACGCAAACCCACGCACACAAACCCACGCACGCACACCCACACACGCACACACACGCGCACGCACACACCCACACACCCACACACACACACACACACGGAGAATGGTAAATGTTTCGTATATCGGCTTCCGCCACTTCTTTTGACGATCTTGATGTTGAAACCTAAGCCTTGAAGTCCCTGACTGCAATACAGAAGCAGACACGCACACACATGACTCGGCATGCTAGGTTTTCGGCTTTGCCTGGTGGCCATTCTGTCCTACAGCAGGTACGTCTGGCTGATCAGGCCAGATATCACCATGCACTGACACTTCGTTGGGCAGTGACTGTGAGGCATGCACTGCCCCCCTGCTGCGAGAAAATTGCGAACTTCCCAAAATTTCCCAAAACCCTTAGCTTAGAATCAGGGTGTACACACACACACACACTTTTCCTGCACATGTAGGTCGAGACTGCGCTCACGGATCCTCATCAGGAGTCTCCAGTCTTCAATATGCAAGACAGCATGTCATTGGCCAGTGCGGCAAGATCAGCGACTGCCTTCAGTGGCACAGGCAAAGAGAAAGCGGCCATGGATCGAAACAGTTTTCTGGCATCATAGAACTAGGCCAGATGATGACGGACTGTTGCCTGCCCTGCCTGGCGGCAAGCGATTGGGGAAAACGGTCTTGTTGCGCCGCAAGCTATTGAGGAATTCCGACTTGCATGGTCCTGATATGTCCTGATGTGTGGTACGCCATTCAGGAATTCCACTTAGCAGGGGCTCGTTTCGCGGCAAGAAGTTGCGAAATTCGAATTTGCCGAGAGGTGCATTTTCCCGATGCTCGACACGCGGCTTCAAATGCTACGATTCCAAACGTTGGAATGTGCAGCGCGTTCGGTTGATTCAAACGCCGCAGTTTGCAGCATGACACTTGCAGCATTGTGGCTCGTTGTCAGCATCAAACGATGCGATCTGTATTCGTCGAAAATACCCACAATGGCAGTGCGGGTCTAGAGTTTGCTGAACACTTCACCCCGTTTCACCGCGAGTATGTGAGCTTCCGATCGGGACCAATGCGCAGAATGCTTTCGGCAATCTGGCGCGGTTTACCTGGCCCGGTGGAGTCAATCTGACTCATAACGTCTATGACGGTCCAGGCAGGCAGGCAGGCAGGCAGGCAGGCAGGACTGCATGCTGATGCTGCTAAAACACTGCGATAACTTGGTCGCTGAGCGGCCTTGTACACTCTCCACGTCCATGAACTGGAGCATCACCTAAGCTTGCTCGGAGTTCCTACATGTTCCGATTCACCACCTCTGCAACAACGGGACACTCTCGTTTCGCTCTCTCTCCCGAAAGCAATACTACTTCCATACATGTGCTGCTGGGAGACAACTTAATTGTTTTTAACGACAAGATCTCGGCTTCGAGATCACGTCACTACAAATTCATAAGCTTAATTCACATTCATCGTGCATCTGCGAATTTCTGCAATCATCGTAGAGAGGATCATCTTGTCTTACATGCCTATCTCATGCCTCTGTAGTCATTCTAGTCTTGGGGCGGATGTAGCAGAAGGCCACATTGGATCGAAGCTCGTGCAAGTGTTCGCAAACTGGCGGAGAGATCCTCTTGTGCTTACGAGTAAGTTTTCCACAAAAAGACGCCTCCTTCGTTACTGGGGTCTGCGGCCTGCATGAACTCGCCCTTGCTGGCCTTGTTGGAGCCACCGCAGTGGTGCCATACCTGCGAGGAGAAGGCTCGAGCCCAAATTCTCTTGGCAGCACAGCCAGTTGAGGGCACCTCTGCGAAAGCCTGACCATCTGACCATTCCAAGCACATTCAGGACTCCTACTCCTACCTGCACGGTTTTCTCACACTGCGGCGCAACCTGCTGGAAGTATTCCGCGTCGCTGAGCAGCTGGTGCACTCGACTGGTCAATCAAAACACCATTGGTGCACACGTCAAGCTGCGGCACAAGCCAATTTACCTCGCTGCTGCATGGTCGTCACGGACGTCGCTGTCTGAACTGGCACCCACCTAGTGACTGATACTTCTGTCTGATCGCCTGATGCTGCAATGCGACACAGCAAAAAAGCTAGAAGCTAGGCTGCATGCCCCCATGCTTTGGCAAGTGGTGGCAGTACCCGCCGTGCCAGCATCGGTACCAAGAGCATAAAGTCTGTTCAATTGAGTGCTTGCAACTTGCTGCCTGAAGATTAACGTGTGTCAGTAGCAGTAGAAGTGCACAGGTGATACGGTGCACTAGTAAACGCTCTGGAACCAAAGAACAACCGTGTGTATACATCCATGCTGCGCGAAATCTGGGTGTAGCAAAAACTACTGCTGTGATTGCTGTCCCATGTGTCTTTCCTGCAGCAATCGTCTTGCCTCCCTCCCAGCTGCTGCTGCGGGACATTGAGGTCAAGTCTTTAAATCAATACTCTGATTTTCGGCGTTCCAGGATACAGACTTGGCATTTATATCCGTGGTCAACCTTCACGATACAGTCAAGCTAGAAAACCATTTGGCTCCAACCGCACATAAACTGGTTAAGCGCCATTTCATCCCTAGAGCCCGAATACACGAACCTTGAAGCCGCTATGCGTCCTACGTAGCTTAGCGTATCCATAAGCCTTCATGGAGCTCAACAGTATGGCCCTGCAATTAGGAGATCTACATTGGTGGCTTACAAGCTTCGATCTTTCATGATTTTTGGCTGAAGTGGGGAGATCCACCAAAGAGCGAACTATCGGACAAAGACCTTCCTGCCATTGGCATCGGCCACAGCAAGGATACTTTCCCTGGTTTGAGCGAGGTGCGAGGTGTCGGGTCTGGCGATTGTAAAGGACAGGAAATGGCCTGTTGGTGTGTTGTTGTTTTGTCATCGGGGAACAGCCTCCCATCACTTTGTGTGCGACTGGTTCTGCAAGTTGCGGCTACTCAAGACATTCCTAGGTGATTGTGAAAGGGTAGGGGGCCATGCAATGTTGGCCTGCAGCAAAATATTGGTACTAGGTAGCTCACTCTCTAGCTTCGGGTCTCATGTCAAGGCCACTCAAGGCCCTCATTGCAACCGTGAGGGATTCAAAACTGGACTCTTTATCCACAAATAGTTGCAGCATGTATGACAACATTCAAACCCATCGTCCACTTTTGTTGCAGCTACGAGCCTTTCGTCGACGTTCAGAAGATGGTCTATCTGTTTCGCCCAGCTGACCCTATGTCGAAAGCTGATGCCCATGCATCCGGGATGGCACCGCACTGGATGGTCTGTTGTCGCGTGTAGACGCAATAAGCTTAGATCGCGATCCAGCTCAGCCCACAGCACATGTCGCCGCCCACCATGTTTTGCAACAATTGACAAGAAAGGCATATCCCATGGCACCACCTTTGCGTATCCTGCCTGAAACGCACCAAGCTTGGCAGAAGGGCCGTTGGAATTGATGTGGTCGAAATCGCTCGTCACGGAACTGACATACGACATGCTGGGCCAAAACCCAATCTTCAGCACGAACATCTGGGAAGCAGCAGCTGGAAGCAGCAGCCACGTGCTTCCGTTCAGTGTTTCCTGCATTGATCCTTCCCAGCCCACGAACTGCCGGTACAGTCGCTCAAGACGCTCCTGAAATTCATGGAAGGGATTCCACAGTACCCGCATGGCGGCACCTTCCGGCCTGTCGTCCTTGCACCACCAGTAATGCCATTTGGGCTCGCCCATGGCTGAACGAAATGTCAAGAGTCCCGCTTCTACAAACTCGCTGACGACTGCGTAAACTATCTCATCGCAATAATCATGGTAAACGATCGTTTCCACGCAGCAAGGCAGTCCGCGCAAAATATTGAACGTGTCGCGCATAACTCCTGTGGCTTCGTGATCAGCATCAATGACAGCAGCCGAGAAGTTCTGATCGGCAAGAGGGGCAAAGGAACCTGACAAAAGAGTGTCAACATGAAGCCGCACGATATTTGTTACTTTGCTGCCGTCTCTTTTCAAGAGGCGGTCTGAGTCTAAACGAAAGCCACCACTCCAGGAAGTGTTCCAATTTTTCTCAATGGCAACCACGACGGCAAAATTTACAGCCAATGCTGCAGTGGTTGTTCCCTCCCCGGCACCAATGTCAAGAGCAGCTCTGGAGGAATATTTCTCTGATCTGAAAAGCCGCATAATGTCCTTTTTGAACCTTGCAGATGTAAGTCCTCTCGTCAGTGTCTCTTCTGCCAGGTCTCGTTTCCACCCATTGCTGACCAAACAATCCCAAAGCAGCAAGCAACAAAGGTGCCTTCGCATGCTTGCTGGCTCAACCTCATCTAGGTTTACAGCTCACTGCTACGAGAATATCACTCTGGCCCATTTTGAGGGATGACTTTGATTATTTGTCGGTCGCTTCCAATCCGACCTCGAGCTAGTATACCATTGAAACCTTTTTTTGTGACTCCTGCAAGATGTCGGCAGTGACACAATGGCCTGTTCTGACTTGGGAATACCAGCAGAACTTGCGAATCTGGCGTGTGCCGTATGCATTATCTTCGCTTGACAAGCGACTCAACAATCTTCTGCCTTAGAACTGCTGTGCCAAGGACTTGGTCAGGCATCCCTCTGTGTTAGACCTGCGAGTTCAAGAAACTCTTCGCAGGTTGGACTCGGTCCAAAGCTGCGGCCACGCAGTTGCAAAGCCAAATGTTGCAAGCGGCACTCACAAGGCTGTCTCAGCAACTTGCAATCTTTGTCTTCCAGCATCAGCCGGGCGAAACTTTGCCAAAAAAAGACCAGGTCGCCCGTCCCCGTTGTTGCTGTCAGAACCTACCGCACAA